ATATTTAACACATGATAAACCAGAACCCATGCAAAATTGAGCCATATTATAAAAGGTTTAATAAATTACAGACAAAGCACACAAAATAAAAAGAAAATGATCAAACCAATAACAACTGGTCTAGGAAAGGAGAAAAGGAAGCACAATCTGTATAGGATATAAAAGATTATAAAGTGGATATAGCAAATTTATGATGTTTTATTAAGACTGATATTTGAGAAAAGGTAAATAAATTGTGCTTTAAAAGATCTAAAGATTTGGTCCAGTGAAGTAAACGTTCACAAGAAGAGTCTCTACAATTAAATAGTGAATTAGAGATAATTCACCTGAGGCTTGGGGCAGGAATTTATCTTTACATAATCTATATAAATTTGACCATAAAATTTAGATTGCTTTTTTGGGCTTTGGCAGTACTACTTACAGGTAACAATGTCTGTCAACAAAAAAGATCAAGTCTTAAGCAATTTGTCTGCTTGTTAACAGATACTTATGAAAGTAATAAAACTACATTCATTAAAAAATTATATGATCTAGGGACTTCCCTGGCGGCACAGTGGTTAAGAATCCGCCTGCCAATGCAGGGGACATGGGTTCAAGCCCTGATCCGGAAAGATCCCACATGCTGCGGAGCAACTAAGCCCATGTGCCACAACTATTGAGCCTGCACTCTAGAGCCCGGGAGCCACAACTACTGAGGCCACGTACCTAGAGCCTAAGCTCCGCAACGAGAAGCCACCACAATGAGAAGCCCACGCACCGCAAGAGTAGCCCCCGCTCGCCGCAAAGCGAAGAAAGCCAGCACAGCAACGAAGACCCAATGCAGCCAAAAATAAATAAATAAAAAATAAATTTACATAAAAAAAATTATGATCCAAAATATTTAATAATCCAGATTGGCCTTTCCTCAGGATATCAAAGATATTTTGCTGTTACTTCTCTTTTCTCCTGAAGAGTAAATAAAGCCTTCTTTGAAATGTTTCCATGTAATGACTGCCAGTATCAGTCAAGAAGTAATACTACCTCAAGAGAGAATTCCTCTTTAAGAATTCTTTAGATGTATGATTAAGAGATTATTTTGCCTTTTCTCTTTGTTTAACATAGAAATGCATTTAAATTATGTATTAAAATGTCCCCAATTTATTTGATACTTTAGAAATTTGGTAAGCACATGAGAGATGTGCTACACAACTTTAGGCTATAGGAGCCTTGAAAGCCTGACAAAACTTTATGAGATTATGAATTATCACAACAGTTTTAAGTACACTTCAGAAAGCAGTTAAAAAAAATTAGTACTCTTACTGGCTTCTCAAGCTGAGTACATAATGTATTTCAATAAATGCTTTTATAACTTCACATAGCATTTAAGGAGAAGGAACATGTTTTGATGAAGAAATAGTTCAAAGTAAAATGTTTCAGGGCTTCCCTGGTTGCACAGTGGTTAATATTCTGCCTGCCAATGCAGGTTTGAGCCCTGGTTCGGGAAGATCCCACATGCCGCGGAGCAACTAAGCCCGTGCGCCACAACTGTTGAGCCTGCGCTCAAAAGCCCGCAAGCCACAACTACTGAGCCCACGCACAACAACTACTGAAGCCTGCGTGCCTAGAGCCTGTGCTCTGCAACAAGAAGACACCGCAATGAGAAGCCCACGCACCGCAATGAAGAATAGCCCCCGCTCACCACTAGAGAAAGCCCGCATGCAGCAACAAAGACCCAACACAGCCAAAAATAAAAACAAATAAATAAATTTATTTTTTTAAGTAAAATGTTTCATTATTAATACTCTACATTAACTTGTATGCTTTAAAAACTCTATCTTAAAATTCTACTCTCTTCCTCACCTCCTCACACAGTAGTGACAGCATTAATATTGTTAAAGATAAATTTTTGGCTCAACAGATGAAAAGGCATTTGTATTTAAGAGAAGTACTCTTGAGGGTCAATCTAACATTCCTATAGAAGGCTCTCATATTCCCATTTAAGAAACACTAATCTAGAGTACTTCATACAAAGTAATACTCAAATCAACAAAACCTATACATTATATGTAAAAATACTATTACTGTCAAAAATGGATTATGTCAAGAATTTTACTGGAAGCATTCGAAAAACAAGAAACCATTAGACAATAAAAGACAAACATTGCAACAGAGTCAGGTCAGCACACAATACACCATTTTTTATCTCCTATTCAAGTAAGTTACCTGAATCCCTAGGCTATTTCCTAAAGATACCCTTCCTTGTTAAAAATTATTGGCTCCGAGGGTTTGGGGGACAAACTCTCCATCCTCTCACAGTTGAGAATCAACACTTGGCTCTACTTTTTTCCAGTAGTATAACATCTCTATGCTATTCTGTAAGAAGTAAGTCGTTTCCAATAATAAAGCACCATTGAGTATCATACCACATAAAGGAAGTAATACTGAAAATTTTACAACAGGAGTTCTGGGAAGGCACTTAAAGCTAACTAGCTAAAAGAGCTCCAACAGTTAGAAGGTTTCTTTTTCATACTGCAGGCTCCTTAATACTATCTTCTTTGCTTATACCACTTAACCTCTTGATCAGTAGTTTCCCAATAAATTATGTTCAAATATAAATTAAAAAAAGAAAAGACAAGAAAGGACAAGCCCACATTCTGAGATGAATGAGGCAGAGTAAGTTTGCTTCCAAAATAAATGAATGTTATGACTCTAAGAAGTGAAGAGAACTAGGAAGAGCAAGAGAGTAAAGCAAGCATGGCCTGGGTATAAGTGGGCTGTTGACTTAAGGAAGAAGTAAGTTTCATTTAAATTTTCAGGTTCAAAGTCTAAAAGGTATCTTTGGATAAGTAAGCAAACTAAATAGTTTCATATATTTTATTTATTTAAAGGTCATCTATAAGTTTTGAGTGTTCCTTATTTCACTTTAATATTGAAGATGACAAAGACAATAAATTTTGTTCAGGCCATAAATTGACAACTTGTAAAATTTCATTATTTTAAATTATATGTTTTGGAATTAAATAAAAATTGGCAATATTCTTCAAGTTCAGAAGTTGTTCCTTGAAGAGTCAAATTATCAAGACTCAAATGTCTAAAAATCTAAATGCTTTACAGTTGTCCCTCAGTATCTGAAGGGGACTGCTTCCAGGAGCCCCCAAGTTTACCAAAATCTGCAGATGCTCAAGTCCCACAGTTGGCCCTCCACATCCACAGGTTCTGCATCCATGGATACAGAGGGTTGACTGCATACTTATTTTAAAAAATCTGCCTATAAGCAGACCCACACAGTTCAAACCCATGTTGTTCAAGGATCGACTGTACTTAATATTAAATTTAATATTAAAACATCATTCATAATGTCATAACACTGTATGCTCAGTTCCAGTAATTCAGTGATTCTAATACTTAGCACAAGTATTCCAGGAAAATTAACCTTATCTATCAGACATTTAAGGGAAAATTTTTTTTCCATATTATACCAGTGTTTTACAAAGTTGTACAAAGTGATTTCATTAAGAAGTAAAACAGCAATCATTTTCTCCCAGCCCATTAACCAAAAAGCAAAATAAAAATCTTTAAAATGCTATTCTCCCATAAATATTCACTTCTGTAATCACTCATTAAATAAACTCACCATCAAAAATCAACCTTTACCTTAAATCCCAATAGAAATGTCCTTAACATGGAAAAGCAACTTATTCACTTTTCTCCACTCATACAATGAAACTAGGAATGTTATGGAGGTTGTGACTTGGCTGTAAATGTGAACAAGGTTTTCATATCACTGGGACATTGGATAGTTTGAAAAGGAATGTACAAACAGCCCTGCTGCTAGTCCAAAAGATGCCTTTCGTGTGAATTAAAAAAAAGGCTGTCCTGTCCTCAAGATACTTTATTGCCAAGTCAGAAATATGATAATTAGCAATGTAATTGTACCAATGTAAATGGCACCCTTGAGTTGGGCACAATTACACCCAGAGTTCTCCCATAAGTCCTTATTCTATTATATATTTTTTCCAATATATATTTTAACTAAGTCCACAACATCGGAGCTAAGGTTTCCTTATGACCAAAAAAGAGATGGAGGAGGGGTGCCCTCAACAAAACTCCCCAAATCACAAAATGACAGTTAAAAAAGATCACATATATATGCCACTAACAACAACAATAATGATGATGATACAGCTTCAATACTAGTCTTAATTTCTCTCATAAGGCTGTCTGATTTTGAAACCATTAATATATGAACCTTGCTCTTTCAAATATAAATGAAATTTTTAAACTGATAGAATACAGAAAACTTAAAATTCACATTAAGAATATACATGCAATGCTGATTTATGCTTATGGACAATACTATTTAATGGTTAGGAAAAAAAATAACTAGACATAATCTTTCCAATTCTAAACTGTGCAGATAGAGTATGTGCACAGTATGTTGGCTGCTTTCACAGAAAACCACAGCTGAAAGCTGGAGCACTTCCAATATCCAGAAATGTATTTTATTAGCTGCATCAGAAAATCATTACCCCAGAAGTCAAGGCCAAAAAATATTCTTTCTAATTGTGCAGAAATGAATATAATGAGTTATACCATCAGCAGACTGCATTGCCAAATATTAAGATTGTTTAAAATCTTTAAATTTCCACAAATTTCCAGTATGACAGACCTCTAAAATTCAAGAATTAAAATTTACAAAAATAAATACCACTCTGACACTCAAGGGACATCTTCACTTTAAGGCCTTTGTCACAAATCTGAATCTTTATTGTTCTGAAATAAATGTTATAAACATAACTCAAAACAAAAACTTCAATATTCAGTCTCGGAAGAGGTGTGGCTCAATGCCCATAACATGTAACAAGAAAACTTCCTTTAAAAAAAAGGAAAAAAAAGTACTATGAGAAGTCTTTCTTATGAGTGAAAATGCACCCCTTTGGTTTTTTCTTTTTTTCCTCGTCTCATTAGCTTGTACACACATAAGGATCTAAAGGTTTGCATTTTCTTCACAATAGTTCTTGCTATGACGTTTGACGAACTTTCTGCCACTCGACAAATTCATCAAGAAGAACAGGCCCTAGAAATAAAAGGAGCAATTTTATTAGAGTTCAGGGAACACATCTCTCCAACTATAAAACAAACTCCCCACAAAGTCTGTGGTGATGATAGGGAACTGACCCGTCCCTTCTCCAGGTGGTTTCCTTTCAGCCTCCCTATTCTACTTAATGAGTGCTTTCTTAGCCTTTTTTCTTTTTTTTTGACATAAGGGACTTTCCACAATAGATATTTGTAGAAACCTCCTCTCAAGATTTGTTTCATGAACTCTCCAATACTAAGTCATTATTAACCTCTCTCTTTTTCTAACTGCCCACAGCTTTCTGCCATTTAATTATTAAACAATCTGAAAAGTGTTTAACGTAGTATTTCTGTTACCTCACCAAGAAGTTTCTAAGTTTATTGAAGGTGTGGCCATATTAGAGACTTATAATATTGTTCCAGTAATAGGATCTAGTATAAATGTGAACACAAAGCAAGTACCTAACAAATACCTGACTTAAGAACTATTGTAAAAAGGTATTTTTGTAACGCAGGGGGTTCAAATTCATTTACTTACAAAAGTCAGATAGGTAGTTTAAATAAGCTGTTTATTTTTTGTAAATGTAGGAAACTCATTGCCACAAGGAAATATGCTTGCCCTATTCTTCTTAAAGCACACAACCCTCTGGTGGTCTCACTTTTTCTCTTGCTTTCGATAGACATACTTCTCTACCGTAAGAAAAACAGCAGACCAGTATAATAATAAATGGCAACTGAAAAGCAACCTAGTCGTTGGCATACTGTGGACCAGCACACCGGAACGCAAGTCCAACATAAGCCACTACTTGGTTCCAGCCTAATTCCTATAAAAGAACACAGGAACAGTTTTGTCAGATTTTCTAACTTTTCAAGCAAATCCAGAAGCTGTTTTTTTATACAAAATGTCTCAGTTATAATGTTGACTCAAATGCACATGAAAATACACATTTGCAGGCCAGCCATAGTCCTTGGGCTGCCAGTTTACTGCTGTAAGGTATTATTTCTAAAAATATTAAATTTTATACCATTTTGTAGGGGGAGACACAATATATATAGAAAGAAATAAAGTTATCCCTTCTTCAGTATTTTGTTTCTTCAGTGTCACAAAATAAGTCCATAATTTCAGTTTACATTTATAGGAATATATCTTTTCTATGTAACCCTTCACAACATTAAAACAACATATGCAACCAAACTGATGGTGGGAAATAATTTATCGTGAGAATTCGTTCGGCTTAGCTAAATAATTTATCATTACTTCAAAGTTCTATTTTATGGCATTCTGGATTTTCCACTGAAGGGGATGGACAGATATTTTAATTTGAAGGATTAAAAAATTGTCAATATTTCATTTCTTGTTTACTCAATAATTCCTGAGGGAAGTTACTTTGACATCATTTGCCATATTGTGAATGGCTATTATGATATTAATTTTAAAGCTTCTGCTATTGTAGCTGAGGTTTTGCTTTCCTATTTTTAAAATCATGACTATACTTTTCTTTCATAGGAAAATGCCAGGAAAGGCAGGAATAAAGCAGAATTTTAGCTTCTAGCTGCAGAAATTATATTCTAAATTTAGCTACCAAGTAACCAAAAATATTTCATTTACCAGCACAGATTTTATAATGTTGCTCAATCTAAGTTCTCTACCTTCTACACCTGCCTCCTCCACACTTCTCACATAATTAAATAAGAAATTGTTAGGAAGTTTAAATCCTTTATGGTAATGCTACACAAATCCACGTTCTCATTTAATAGTTTTAAGAATTTTACTTTCATAGGAAAACATTATATTATACTTACAAGCACCATCTTCATCATAGTTACTAAGATCAGCATGGACTGTTCTGCTGAATTCTAACACATTGTACCACTGATCTTTGTTCATAACGCGATACTTTGATTGCTGTAGAAATGATATAAATTTTGGATTATAGAACAAGCACTATTTATTAGGACTGGACTTCAATAAACACAGTTATAACCTTCTTTTTGTGATTTAGTCTTTCCTAAAACATTTATTCCTCTTTTAATTATTTGCGTTTCTAAGAGAATCCTCAGGGTCATTTAGATGTCAACTTCATCAAATTAATTTTTCCCTTTACTTTTCTTTCATTCTTTAATTTTTTTGGGGGGGGGGGCGGGGCACGGCATGCGGGATCTTAGTTCCCCCACTAGGGATCCAACCCCTGCAGTGAAAGCATGGATCTTATCCACTAGACTACCAGGGAAGTCCCCTTCTTTCATTCTTGAGGAATAACATGAGTGTCAAGGGCACTAATAATAAGGGTAAAACTCAATAAACTTTTACCAATGTATATGCTTGTGTAATCACCAATGAGATCAAGCTATACAATGTTTCCTAACACAGTAAATTCCCTCCTACTGCTTCTCACTAAATCATTTCTTTACGTAAGATTTACTGTTTAGCACATTTTGAAGTTGGCATCTTTGGAGGCAATGGAAAGGGCACAGACTTGGGTTCAAATCTCACTTCTGCTACTTGAGTGACCTTGGGAAAGTTATTCATTGGCTAAGTGGAGATAAAACATAATTCAAAATGGTGTTATAAAGATTTAAAAAGATAATGTATGTCAAACACCCTCCACATAACAAGCATCTGAAAATATTTACTTCTCTCAGCTCCTATTAGAGGGGAATATGTTTACAGAGTTATACTTACCGTTGCCCCAAAACTACTAATATGAGGAAGATTGATAACATCCATCAACCAATCTACTTTATTAGGCTTAAAGATTTAAGTGTGCACAAACCCATTCACATAAGACCTTCTTATACCACTGTCTATTATCACAAGTTTTAAATGAAACTAATCTGGGGAACCTGTTATGATAAACAACCAGCTTTATGAAATTATTTTCAAAGCAAAAGCATCTGTATTCAAGAAACAGTGAGAAGTATACAAAAAAATGAAATGAAATGAAATAAAATGAAATAAACAAAATAAAATAGAAAGAAGCACAAAAACAGATAGGAAACTAAAGAAAGCAATGAAAAAAAGGACAGTATCTTCTTCAAACCACCACATACAGAAGGTGCTATAATAAACCTTCTAAAAGAATACTTTCTTCATAAATTCAGCATACATTTCTCAGTAATCACTATATTTAAGTACATCCTCATATTTGTGGAAATAAAGTTTATTTTAATTCTTTAGATTGAGCCTAAGTTTTAATACTAAAATTGGTTCTCTTATATTGATTTTTTCAGCCTAATACCCTGTATAACAGAGAGAAACCTGATTTAGAAAGCTTGAGATTTGTGCACTAGCATAAATTCTCTCCTGCAAAAATCCCAAGAAACTAATTTTACATGAAGGATGTCTGTGCTAAAATATATTTCTTGAAGGTTTCTTTTTTATCTTTTTTTTGGGGGGGGGGGTTGCAAGGCAGGGAATAAAAATGAACTTATGTACAGAATATGTTAATGAACATGAACTCATGTCTAAAAATGACAGCAGATACATACACATTTTAACAAATTTTCAAACACTTAAGCAGAATTTTTAAAAAGCACAGTATTGAAAAATCTACTTGTTTTTCTTCAATTAAAGGTATATTTTCAATCAGCTTAAGTTTTAAAATATTATTTTAAAAATAAAAACACATACATACCTCCAGGTACTGGTAAAATACTGAAAACAGTGGCCATGTCCTCCCAAGGAGAAGAGCTAACATAGACTTAGCTGTATCAATATCAAGGCTTCTCTGATCTTTATCCTAAAATAAAGGTAAAAAAGTTTCCCTAAGTGTGGTTTCAAGATTAAAAAAATATTAAAATTGAAAACATGGAAATTCCACCTACCCTTGCAAAATCAAAGGCATATCTGTAGATATTCTTAAATGAAGAAATATCATTCAACTGTGAGCGCAAAAAGTCAAATTTGTTCTGTAACTTTTCTGTGCAGTCACACCTTAAATTAAAAAAATCAAACATATCACATAATTAAGAAAATTAAATAAAAGCATCTTTAGGGGTTAGAAGGAATGCATTAAAGAAAAAAGTGAGCACATTTATGAAGTTAATTTAGGTTTAAAATTCTCTGATTCACAAATTTAGAATAACAAACTATTGCCTTGTATCTACCAATGCAATACAAAAATGAAAAATGATAAAAGAAAAGAAAATCTGGCAATCAATGAAAATTCACTCCAATAACTTTTCTTGAAAAAAAAACAAAACACAACTCCATCAAAAACTCCAATAAAATCACAAATATTTGATAAAAAGAGATGTACTAAAATGTGCTTTTACCACAAATAAAGTTAAGATGACAGAACAAATAAAATTAATCAGGCCTCTGATACAAATTTCACTGGCACCAGTTCTTAGGCACCAGCTTGGTGAAAGAGATTAGCCATGATTGCTTTTACAAGTTTAGTATATAACCCAGAGGAAATACATTAGTGATTCAGTCATAAACTCAGATTCCTACATTTTTAGTAAACAAAAAATCAAAGTAAATCAGTGATAGCACCTAACTTCACATAAGGCACATATACAAAAGAATGCAAACAAGTAATACATGTTATTTCTAAAGATTAGACATGAAGTATAAGAAGCTAAAGAGATGGAATGTTCACAAATATTTACTGGCTTTCTGACTCCCTGGGTTGATATATTCCCCTACTTAGGAAGAAGCAAGGCAGACAAAGCCTTTTACAATTGGCACAAATCTCCAGTCTCATCTCCTGCCAGGGCCCAATATCCTTAAAATATAACTGTGCTCTAGTTATAATTTCACTTACCATTCCCAAATGTCACAGCTATGCTTTAGCACACATTATTTTATCTACCTGATATGCTGTTCCTTCTAACATTTTGACAAAATATTACTCATCAAAACCTAACTCAGTTTGCGCTCTCTGAGATCATCTGACTCCCTCCGATCAAATTAGTTGTGCCATCTACTGAGACCAACGTATTCCACTCAAAACTGAATTTTAGTACTCATGACGTAGACACCTAGCATTCTCAGTTTTAACCAAGATTTTCACTATTCTAAATCAACATTGTGATGTGTAGTAACTTATTGTTTTATTAAGGTGTAAATATCTGAATAAATTTCTAGTGTTACTTAACTCTTACATTCTTAGAATAAGCCAAACTTGGTCATGTTACCTATTTTATACACTGCTAGATATCTTACTATGTTCATAAGTGAGACTGGCTTGTAAATTTTATTCTTTCACACTCTCTTTTCTAGTTTTATAACAAGCTTATACCATAAGCTTAAAAAAAAAGAGAGAAATAGTACCCTTTCTTCTGTTTTCTGAAAAAGTTTACTGAACACTGGAATTAGGATTTGTCCAAACTCAGCAACTGAAAATCCACCTGGGCCTTTTCACTGAGGGAAGGAAAACCTTTTAATTACTAAATCAGCATTTTAAATGGCTATCAGACCATTCAGATTTTCTATGTCTTTTTAAATCAGTTTTGGTCATTTATACACTTTTCTGATCATTTATCTCATATATAATTTTATTTAAATATGCCAATTAAAATATTTATAATATTTTCTAATATGATTATTATATTTATATATTTTTGCCTTTTCTTTGCTTTTCTTAATCACCTTGCCATAATTTAATTCTCTCAATTGTATCTTTTTTCTATTTTACTAAGGTCTGGACATCTTTTTATCTCTTCTTTCTTTGGGTTAATCCTTTTTCTAACTTCTAAAATTAGATACCAGTTCATTTGTTTTCAGGCTTTTCTTCTCTTTTAATATAACATTTAACACTATAGACCTCCCTCTAAGTACAATTTTAGCTTCAGCCACAGTTTTGTAAGTATTATTGGTTTGATTATTCACTTGTAAATGATGCCTTAACAAGAGTGGTTTCAGAGGAGTCGCAGCGATAAAAGTTTTGCTAGAATAGGTTTAAAAGAAAGAATGAAAAGAGAGAAACTGGAGAAAATAAGCATAGACAATTGCTTTCGAAGAGTCTGGTTCTAAAATGGAGCAGAGAAAAGAGCTCTAAAGTGGGATAGTGAAGGAGGGCAGAGGTTTGCTTTTTAAAAAAATAGATACAAGAAATAACTTCTACTTTTAGGAAGATGAAGTAAATGTTCTCTTCCCTATCTCTCCTGCTAATTCAACTAAAAGCCCTAGACATTATATATAAAACAAACATAAGAAGACTCTGAAACAATCTGAGAAACAATACAGTAGTATTGTTCCTTGGGTTTTCTTTTTGCCTTGTCTATCCCAGACTTGGAGATGAAGGAGTCAGAAAAACAGAAATGCCAAGGAGGGCAGACAAACAAACAAACAAAACAAACAAAAAGCCTGCTCTCCCGCTAGTCAAAAGTAAGCAGCCTAACAAGACAGAAAACATTAGAAAGAAACACTCTTCTCCTGTCAAACACCAAAGAAAAAACTGGCTCAGACCCCAGCAATGCCAGCAAAGACTGAATGGGGACCTGAGTGGTCTACCCTCACCAGAGTATAAGGAGTTTGCCCTCTCAAATTCTGCAGTGTCAGTAGTGGAAACCACATGGGGAACATGAACTTCCACTCCTACCAGTTAGTAAAAAGCAGCCAATCCTCCTCTGACCTGACGTAGTGTCAGAGGAGGATTTATAAAGAGTCAGGGCTTTCACTATCACCGCAGGAACAAGGCCACCACCCTAGTAGTGTCAGTAGAGACTTTTTGGGGAACAAGAAAGTATCAGTGGAGGCATAGTGGGACCTAAAACTCTCATGTCTGCTAACAGTAATGAGGACTTCCCTCCTCGGATGTCAAAAGATGCAGAGTGAGGAACTTTGATTTCTATAGGCTGGAAGTAATAAGGTAGTGGCCCTCACTTTT